AATATATCCGTTGGTCCAAGAAAAGAAGCTGGGATGAAAAATGCAGCATAATAATCGATTAATGCAGTGTCAATAATCGATTAATGCAGTCTGCGCAGAGTTCCTTCAACGCGTAAATAATCGATTAATGCAAAGCTATTAATCGATTAGAATGGTCTGAGTAAACTAATCGATTAATGGGAAGAAAAAAATCGATTATAAAGAAGCTCAACACGAAGTAAAACTCAATTAATCGATTAATCAAAAGAATTTAATCGATTAATCAAAACAAAACTGGGTAAATCGATTAATGTGAGAATATTAATCGATTAGATTTGAAATGATGCACAAACACAAGGGCCCCAAGCCAGTTGCGAGATGAGAAGAAAAAAATGTCTTAACGCGATTGTTTCAGACAAGAGGAATGAGAGACGCTCCTCAAACAAAACCTCTCCTATTCAATGTATTTGAATAAGGGAGTAAAAAGTGAGTCCAAAAATTATTTTGTGTGTCAAATGATGTACACGAAAAATATTTGAATAAAATATTTTTGCTTACCAAAAATATTTTATAATATCAAAATAAATATTTGATAAATGTTTGACACACCTTTTTTTGTAACTGACTCAATAAAACTATTTTGAACAGTTAAAAAGATTTTTCAACTGACTCCAAAAATAAATATAATTTTTATTTTAACTCTCATAAAAATAGTTTTGGAGAGAAGATATTTTTGTCATCCTTACAAAAATTCCTACGACTCAAATAAATAAGAGTCTTCGGAAATCTTCTACTCCTCCGAGTCCTCCGTTAGGCGCTCCGAATGCGTCTCGGACTCCAATAAAATCCTGTGCACCTTCTTGAATACTTCAAGGAATGGCACTTCAAGTCTTCGTGTTTGTCGTTGTAGCACTTTGATCTTGACTTGAAAAAATTGTGTTTGTCAATTATCAAAACCTGTGAGTCAACACTTAACAACACAGAAAAGGTTGAACACATGCATTCCAACATTCGCCTCCCGACCGGTCGAGCAACCCGGGTCAAACAAGTCAGGCGGCGCTACATTTGGTACCTTCCAGTCGGTCAAACCTACCGGGAGGTACCCATGGGTATTACCCATCAATCTTAATGATTGCCTTTAAGATAAAAAAATATTATTATTTTTCATATGTAAAAAGCTAGTTTAAAAAAATTTATTAGAATATAAAATTAGCATAAATATGAAAATGTTAAATATTTAAGAGTTATGATGGCAATGTTGCATTTATTATAAAATAATAGATTTGTAATATATTTTATATATTACAAGATTTTGTTTTAAATATACGACATATCACATAATGTAATCAAACCTATTTTTTATATAATGATTGACAATTTATTTTCATTGTAACACTACTTTTGGAATAAAGACATAGAACTTTTTTTTACATTCTTTTATTTTTTTACTCCTACATTAGTCATTTTTCATAAAGTATTTTGACTTTCAATTTTTTTTATAAAAATTAGAAAAATAAAAAACAAAACTAATTTTTGAAATAAATTAAAATGAGAAAGAATTGAGTAATAAAGACCAACGCAATGGGTGATGTTACTTGTATTTTAATGATTGGTGATGTTAGTTTTTGAATTTCTATTTTACACTTATTGGGTCATTTTTTATTTTTCAAAATGTAGTTTCTCTTGGTTTTCATAATGTAGTACTCCCCACCACATTCCATATTTTATATTTTAGATTAAAATATTGATGTTTACCTTATATAAATTTAGATTAAAAAAATATTATATTCTACATAACTATTTTATCCATAATTGTTTAAATAGTTTCCTATTTTTTATGTAGATTAATATACAAAAAAATAGTATTATTCATATTAAAAAGTTGAAGAAAAAATAATAATGAAGGTGTATCATAAAAAAAGGGAGATGAAAAAATGAAATATTTTATAAACTATAGTTATGAACATAATAGTTGTAATAATAATAATAATAATAATAATAGTAATAATAATAATAATAATATACTCCCTCCGTCCCAAAAAGATTTACACATTTCAAAAAAATTGTGTCACACAATCACTTACCTATTTCTATTAAAAAAACCACTTTTATCCCTTACTTTTTCAAACCATACCTATCACATCATATCTTTTTCCTAATAATCTACACATCACATCATACTTTACCCATCACATCAAGGATATTTTTGGAAAGTCAACACAAAATTATTCCTTCCTTAATTTCTACTTTAGTCAAAACGTACCCATCTTTATGGGACGGAGGGAGTATTTTTTAAAGTGATTTGTTAGAAAGTAGAAAGAATTTGAAGAAAATAAATATAGTTGGAATAAATTAGAAAAAACTGGAAAAAACTGGAAGAAATTGGAAAGAACTGGAAGAACTAGAAGAAACTAGAACAAACTGGAAGGCACTGGAAGAAACTAGAAGGAACTGGAAGGAACTAGAAGTTAAGAGTTTCCTACAACATGGAGGAAACTCCTGTTCGATCTTTTTGTCCTGAACTGAAAGTAGTTGGCTATCGCCAGTCTCTTAAGATGGAAAAGAAGATCCTTCTTACTCTCATAAATTGCACTCACCGCAATCGTAGTCGGATCAAACCGGGATAGAACCTTCAAATCCCTATACATGGACATTTCCTCCGCTGACATGGGGGTACTGTGTGACATTGAACTTTCGTTGGAAAGCAGCAAATTGTTCTCCACCAGCGATTCCTCAGTGGATGTGTGAAACAAAGGAGATGCCCCAGAGAGTACGAGACGCTGATCGTTGTGATTACTAATCGTGCTAGTTTGAGGCATTCCTAGGACATCACCACCGTGTGCGTTTGAATGGCCGGAAAGATATGTGTCCCCATCAGAAAAATCGTTCAAGTCTGATTTGGAATCACATGGGGAATCAGGCCTAGACCATAACTTAACGCATAAGGGATAATCACGAACATTGCTATGATTCAGTTTGAAACGAATGTAAGAATCAAGGGTAGAGTCATCATGAACAAAGGTACGCGACTGTGTAGAATTGGTCGTGTATGACAATATAAATTCTAAATTTTCAGCATATGACGGTACGGTCAATCGGATTAATTGGAGAAGATCATCATACGTAGACCCCCAGTAAACATCAATTTCGTAGAACCCCTTACAGTTGAATTCCAACGTATCAGACCATACACCATCAAAATTCAGGAGAACACGAACATACCTTCCCTGCGGGTTCAACGTCAACTGATTGCAATAAAGAAGAGAACATGATCTTCCTCCAGGGGGTGAAAGCGGTGAGAAGGGGGTACGAAAAAATGGAAAAAGAACAGAACCGCTATGCAGAAGATGACGGAAGTGCGGCTAGTGCAGAAGATGACAGACGTGCGTATAATGGGTTGTGGGGTTTTACTTCCTAATTTTTAGGAGATAATCATGGGTAATTGAATTTTTTACATGGAAATAAAGAATAAAAAAAGGGGGTGGGAATGGCGAGAAGGACAAATAGGTCCGAGTAAAATAAAATAAAGTTCCATTTAGGGAAAAAAAAGATGTTGGTGCTATACACGGAAGTTGCCCATGTTTGAGTGCTATTTGGAGCAAAAATTTCATTTAAGAATTAGAAGAGATTTTTATGTTCCTTTATTTAAAGTTAGTTATTGTGTCAACTTTAAACTTTATTTGGAATATTTTTGTAGATTAGTTGAATATGTGATTTGAGTGTTTAGTAATTGATCTGCAAGTAATTAGGATTATGCTTGAGACATCTTTTTTTTTTGCTTTTTTTTTATTACCAACCCATCTATTTTTCATTAGCTTGATTCATATGCTTGCTAATGTGCTTCTCATTCATCCTATTTCAAGTTTATGGTCGGAGAGTTATGTTTTAGTGATGAAGTAATGGATGAGATGATATTGTTTTATATTGCTACATGATTCATAGTTACCAACAGACCTTGCGGCTTAGGAGCTCAAGGGACAAGGATGCCACAAAAGTTACAACACATCGTTATCGGCGAGTGGTTGCCACCAACCCATAAGTCAGAAGTAAAATGTCGAATTTTTTTTCACAGTTGCTGGATCTTTGTTTTAAGAAAAGTGATCTATCATTTTTCTCACATAAAAAATGGTCATCAGTTACAGGTAAATGATATCCTCCCTTTGGTTTGGTCTATCGGTAGGTTTGCTTCATTAAGAAGAGAAGTTAATATTTTAGGATAAAGCTACTTGTACCCCACTTTGTACCCCGCAGTTTTGCACCAACATTTTGTGTTGGGGTAAACTAATTTTTGTTAACGCATCAACACTTTGTGTCCATGTAAATTTTTGTTAACGCACCAACACTTTGTGTCCATGTAAATTTTTGTTAACGCACCAACATTTGTGTCAGTGTAAACCATCAAAATGTTTGTATTTAACTGCGGTGTACAAATGAGGTACAATTTTTGGTGTAAATGTAGCATGGTCCAATATTTTAAGGATTAAGCTATGTGTACCCCAACATTTATACCCCAATTTGTACCCGCAGGTTTACACTAACATTTTGTATTGGTGTAAAACTAATTTTTGTTAACGCACCAACATTTGTGTCCGTGTAAATTTTTGTTAACGCACCAACACTTGTGTCGGTGTAAGCCATTAAAATGTTTGTGCAAAATTGTGGTGTACAAGTAAGGTACATTTTTTGGTGTAACTGTAGCATGGTCCACATTTTAATAGTGAAACGTGCGGCCATGATACTAGCAACCACTCAATTAATGTAGGTACAACTTAAAAGAAATGAAAGAATAATGATGAATATATTATGAATAGTAGATATGAATGCACAAAGATTGACCGATTGAAGGATGTTATAATGCCTTGAATCTGACTGGAAGCTATACAATATTTATGTATTGAGCTATTAATTATCTGTTAATTTTGTATTTTGAGCCCAAGCCTGTTAGGGTGTACCCTAGCACTATATCCATAGGTGCTATCACAAACCCTAAACTATATTATGTTCTTGCCTCTACATAATAAAACTGATCCCCTTCTTCCCCGTGGATGTAGCCAATTTATTGGTGAACCACGTAAATATGTTGTAGTGTTTTTTGTGTTCATATTGTAGACCGCCTTTCTTCCCCTCTTTCCGTCGCGCAGTAGGCCGCACCAGGGAGTTGCAGCGGCAGCTTTTCTCTTCTGATTTGGATTTCAATTCCTTCAAAATTTGAGGTAATTCCTTGTCCCAATTGTAGCGTTAATTCGTAGATTGGGATCTCGTTTGTGTTTAATCTTGCAATTGATGGTTGAAATTGTGGAATTGGTGAATGGATTGGGGTGGTGAACCATTGGTGCTGGTTTGGGGGTCGAATTTCCGGCGGTTCCCTGGCGGGTCGCCGGCGGAGGGTCGGCCCAAGCTTCCGGATTTTTTGTTGGGTTCCGATTGGTACTTATTTGACCGAATTGGGTCAAATTGGTCTAATTGGGTTGGTTTGGGTTCTATTTTGTGTCAATTGAACCTGTTTGGGCAAAATTGGGTATAATCAGTTGAAATTGGATAAACCTATTTCCTGTTGGGTGTTGGGCCGGCTGCCCGGTCCGGTAATGGGCCGACAATTTGGTGGACAAGCGTCAGGGGCTGCCGGGAAGTTGTTGGGTCGGGTGGGGGCTGCCAGGCAACTGTCTGGTTTCTGGGCCGCCGGGTCGGTCTAGCGAGTTGTCGGCCTGATCCGGTGGTAATTGATACTGTTGCGACGGGTATAGCGGATCTAAGGATAAATCCTTAGTCCCGAGTTCGCGACACAGGTAAGTTATTTAAATATTGTTGGGTTTAATCCTATTCTTTGAACATGTTGGTAATCGGGAGAAGTGATTCTGATAGGCCGCTGAGTGTGTTCTTCTTTTTATGGAAATGTTAAGTGCTTGTTATCACTTGAGAACTCTGTTGAGAATTGGTCACTTAGTATATCTAGGCAGATCTGAACTGAATTGGATAGTTAAATCACCAATAGGATTGTTGTTAGGTTCGGGCCTTGTGGAGCATGTTTGCATATCCAGTGGTCCAGGGTTCAAAATGTACGAACGGGAGTCACCGTTCTACCTAAGGGATTCCTCGATAGAGACTCCAACCTGCCCATTGAGGATTCTCTTTGGGTTTGTCCGAGCATCGGCCTCGAGGGATCAGCTCGAGTGTCCGTAACTCTAGTCTATTGAATTTCGCCTTAGTGTTATAGGGACAGAAATAGTCCTTTGGGAATAAATGAATTGCAACTGTTAGATCCTTGTATCTGGAAGTAAATGTTGATTGTTCACTGATGTTGATGATTATATAAATGCGATACTATCTGCGAAATTAATTCTGGCGTTAGATATTTCTCTCACTCAGCTTTCAGCTGAGCGTGTAGTCTTGTTGTCTTTGACTGCACGCAGGTAGCGATTTGGATCAGGAGGGCCATCCTGGAGGACTTTGACGCGTTAGGCCGTGGATGATGTCGCCATTTTTTATTATGGACATTTAATTGTTTTATTAACTAATTATTTGGGTTTAACATTTATTATAAAACATTATTTTGAGACTTCCGCACTTGATGGACTTTACTTTGAATTTTTCGTAATTAACTGGGTGTGTCGATGTTTTTTGAATAATTTGTCTAAATTGTTGTGTTGTGAATATCAATTTATTGGCAACCCGATTTGTTAACTCCTTGGTTCGGGTTACGCGAGTTGGGGTGTTACAGGAATGTAGAGTTTCACGTTGGAGACAGTTGTGAATGCAAGATGTGGGGGTTTGGAGGAGAGATTTTGAGAGGTGACCTCGCTAACTTCGGCCATGGTTGGAGGGAGGAGGAGAGAAGACCACCGGTGGGGGGGGAGAAGCCGGCGGGAGCCGCTGGTTGGGCAATCGCAGGAGAAGGCGACATAGGGGGGGTGACGGGACTAGGCCGATAGGGAGAGAGAGAGAGAGAGAGGTTGATTAGGGTTTTGTGTTACGTTTTTAGGCTCCGATACCATGTAGAAAGATTAAGTTTCTTGATTGAATAATGTGGAGAATACAAGTATATATACAAGGGGGTCTTAATCCTAATTAAGGTAGGAGAGACATAATAGGAATTCTATACAAGTATGGTAACAATAATATTACAATTATATTAAATATATATTTTATGTATCTAACAAAAAGATCTTAGCTTGATGCTGAATTTGTTGCCAAGAGGAAGCAAAAATAGGAAGCCTAATTTTTCTGCGGCCAGAAATTTGAGCCACGTTTGTCTACATCAATTCATGAGAGATTTTGAGTGGAGAATATAGATAGATTATGCCATTATGACGATTTGTTATAAATGGATAGACATATTTCTATAGATACTGTGGGTGTTAATATTATCGGAATGGATAGTAACATTGTCTCAAGTGCAGCAGAGAATGTGTAACGCCCCGAAACATACCCTAGAATTATTATTAAATAATTATTCGATTAAACAAATTTGTTTTGATTATTATTGGGCTTTGGGCCGATATGAAATATTTTTTTTAATATCCAATATCAAAATCTAGATAAGTCTAATCGAGATAAATCCAATATGTGGACTATTTGTGTGGTCTTGATTGGGAACCTGAGTACAGACCCAAATCAAGAATAAATAAATTAATTAATTATGATGTGAACTTTGTAATGATTTATTGAAATAAATCATGAGAATAATTGATATGAATTAAAGGAGAGAACCTTTTAAGAGAAAGGTCAATTAAACCAATTTTGACTCTGTTAAAGTCAAACACCCAAAAATATGATGTCGGAAAAAGTATTACAAATAATTATGAAAAGTATATCGTTGGATAGAGCTCGACTGTCTGATCGCAACGGTGCAAACGGATTTCAATTTGGAGAAAGTTGAACCAAAAAGTGTACCCCGACTTGAACCAAAATAGGTCCCAATCAGGGAACTGTTTAGACGGCGCCTCCTTCCCCACTACGCCGATCGCAGAGTCACCTTCTTCTTCTCTCCTTCTCATTATATAAGAAAACCCAACCTTCTCATTTCTTCACCATTCTTCTTCATTCTTCTTCCTAAATGTTCATGAAAGTGTGAGGAGTGTTGTGGTGCTGTCAATTTGGTGTGAAGTCGCTGGAGTTGGGAGAAATACTCGCCGGAAGTTTCGCCGGAAAATTTCCAAAACCTCCATTAAGCTTCGAGGTAAGCCCCTAGATATATCTAATGACTAGAATGTTCATATAGGTCGTTTCTACGTTCATAAATGGTCATTTGGTTGAGTTTTGTGTTTGACAT